CAAAATCCTCCGGAAATCCAATAATTCTGTAGCAATCTTCTTGTGTATGTCCTATTTTTCCACAATAAGTACAAGACACATTTGGATTGTACTTCTTTTTTCCTTTGAACCTCTGCTGAGGCTTAACAAACCTTTGTCCAGAGTTGTTGAATTTGGGTGCCATGGATGCTCCCTTTTGTGTCTGGTTTCTTACCTTCTGATAACTTTTCCCTTGTCCTGTGATCATGAAAGCTGCAAAATCAGCTAAAAGCTGTGCATTATGCTGCTTGTTCTCTCCTGCTGCCATGAATGATACTGATTGAGAGTTAAAATGTGCATTTGCATAAACTTTCCTTTGATTTTCATCTTGTAAGAGAAGTGAATAAGCAACATCCATGCTAGGCAAATGACTCATCATGAGGATGTTTCCTCTTGCTTGTGCATAGATGTCATTTAATCCCATTAGAAATTGGATCAACCTCTGATCCTCTAGTGACTGAGTTAATTTTGCATTTCCTTCACAAACACAAACACAAGAGCAGCATATGATAACATTCAAAGCATCTAATTCATCCCACAATCGTTTGAGCTTAGTAAAATATCCCGCAATATCACTATTTCCCTGTACTAATCCTGATAATTCCTTCTGCAGATGTTAAAGCTTTGCTCCATTTGATCTCCCAAATCTCTGTTCAAGGCTGTCCCAAAGCTCTTTTGCAGTTTTAGAATAAATCACATTATCTGCAATATCCTTTGAAAGAGCATTAAGGATCTAAGAGATGACCATGTCATTCACACAACTCCATTGTTCATGTTCTGGAGATTTCATATCTGGAGATTGACAAGCTCCATTGATGAAACCAAGCTTCTTCTTGGCTGACAAGGACAAGAGAATAGATCTTCTCCATCCTGCATATCCTCTTCGATTAAATACAGTATTGACTAGAGTCATACCAGGTGAATCAGAATTGTTGAGGTGATAGGGGTGATTAGCATCATAACTCACAGCCTTTGTAGCATTGCTGGTTTCTGCAGTGATGGTTATCACCCATTTTGTTCTACTGAAAAGTGATGTAATAGATAGATTAATTGATTGAATTGTTGGATCGATCTAGTTTGTAACGACCCGACTGATCGTTTTGAACAATTGCATCCGGTTTGATAGTTTGAGTTCAAGAGCAGCTTCACATTATGTATATCGACTTGTGTGCAGGGTTGAATTCAGTTTTCGGATGAATCAGAGTCGAATTGGAAAGAAGGAATATAGTTCTGGAAGCTTAAGCGAAGAGAATTTGACCGGAATTTGACATTTGAGTAAACAACTCCGGAATGAGTTTTGGATGATGTCAGTAGCTTTGTATGGTGATTTTGGACTTGGGCGTGGGTTCGGATTTGGATCTGGACGCCCGTAGGGTAATTTGAGGCATTTCGATGAAAGCTGGGAAAGTTGAAGTTTGGAAAATGGAGAGGTTTGACCCATAGTTAACTTTTGTGTTATAGAGGTCAGAATGCGATTCCGAAAGTTGGAACAACTCCGTTATGTCATTTGGGACTTGCCTGCAAAATTTGGTGTCGTTTGAAGTTGATTTGAGGTGGTTCAGACGCTTGGTTGCAATTCTAGAGGTTCTTGAAGTTCATAGTGATTTTCATACGTTTGGGCATCTGATTCGTGGTTTTAGCACTGTTTGACGTGATTTGAGAGTGGGGCTAAGTTCGTATGATGTTATGGGATGTGTTGGTACATTTGGTTGAGGTTCCGGGGGCCTCGGATGAGTTTCGGGTGAGTTTTGAGCGAGTCCGGACATTCCGGAACTTAGAAAATGGTTCTGATGCTTAAATCTTTGCTGGGGGCAGAAGTCTTACCGCTGAGGCGGTGGGATTACCGCTGAGGCGGAAAATGGTCGGCGGTCCGCGGTGAGGAAGAATCCGCAGGTTCACTGGTCTAACTTCGGAAGCATATATCTTTTGATCTACAAGGAATTTTTAGATGATTCAAAAATGAAAGTTGTAGCCCTTCATATCTAGTTTTCAGAAAGCTAAAGAAATCATAATTTGGACATCTGTAGAGAAAGTTATGGCCAAAATACTAAAGCATGTCACTGCAGTCAATATTTTCCGCTGTAGCGGTGGATTAACCGCGGTCAGCGGTGGTTTTTCCACGGTCAGCGGTGATGGAAATCTGGGAGGTGCACTATAAATACGAGATTTAGGGTTTTATTTCATATTTTTACCTAGAGAGCTCGGATCTTGGTGATTTTTCGAAGGTTTTTCAAGAAGTTCATTGGGGTAAGTGATTCTAACTCGAATTTGGCTAAAATACATGAATCTATCATTGAATTCATCATTTGATTCGTGATTTGGGAAAAATTGTAAAATCTTTCAAAAATGTAAAATGATGATTTGAAGGACCAAATGGTATCAGAATTGGATAATTTTTGTATGGGTGAACTCGTATCGGAATGTGTATTCGGTTTTTGTAAATTTTGTCGGGTTCCGAGGTGCGGGCCCGGAGAGTTGACTTTTGTTGACTTTTTGCAAATTGTATAAGAATCATAGTTTTGTTAATTGGAATTGTTTTCTCTTGCATTGTTAGGTGTATTCAAATTGTTTTTTTGCTAGATTGAGCCGAGCGTTGATGAATTGGTAAAGGAAAAGCTAAATTGAGTATTGAATTGGCCGGATTGAGGTAAGTATCTTGCCTAACCTCGTGTGGGGGACTTCCCCTTAGGATTTGAGTCTTCTATGCTAATTGTAGTCCGTGCATGCGAGGTGACGAGTGTGTGCTCGGACTTATTTGTGAGAAATTCGCATCTAGGGTTCTTAGGTCCTTATGTTCATTATATGGAAAGTATCTCGTTATGATTGGGTTTCCTAATTGCTTAAATTGCCTCTATATGCTCCATATGATGTTGTTAGCTTCCCTCTAATTCATACGTGTTACTTGACCCTTAATTGCCTTAATTGAAGTGATTGCCTTCCTTATTGTTTTGATACTTCTTGATTGTGATTTCCCCTATGACTTTGTGCAAATATGTTACATGTCCATTTGTTGTGGTTACCGGTGTAATTATTACGTGCTTATTATGTCTTGTTGCGTTGTTAAGGTTAGTGTGCTTCTTGGTTTTCTTTTCGTGATCCTTATTATGTACTATTCATGCTTGACTCGATGAGTATTCATGTTGAACCAAGCTTATGGTAATTCCTTGGTATTTGACCGTTGTTGAGTATTGACTCAAGTTGGGATTCATTTTGTGAAGTTAATTATTGGGACGAGATTGGTTATTGTTGATTCCCTTGCCGGGATGTTATTGCTTATGATCTTGTTTTCCTTGCTGGGATATTGTTATTATACTATTGTTCCCTTGCCGGGATTCTATTGTGATTTTATTGATTCCCTTGCCCGAATTGCTTTGTGATTGTTGCTTGGGTAAGGAAGAGTGTAAAAGCACGAAGGGTGATGCCGTGCGTGATATTTGTGAGTGAGTGTAAAAGCACGAAGGATGATGCCGTGCCATGATATGAGTAATAATGCACGAAGGATAATGCCGTGCCATGATTATGTGAGGTAAAAGCACGAAGGGTGATGTCGTGCCATGATATGAGTGATAATACACGAAGGATAATGCCGTGCCATGATTATGTCAGGTAAAAGCACGAAGGGTGATGCCGTGCCAAATATATTGATTCTTATGGTGAGAACGAGAGTAAAAGCACGAAGGGTGATGCCGTGCACTTTCTGTTTGCTATGCTTATTTGTCGTTACCAATTCAAGTGTTTTAACTGTTCAAATTCCTTTACCGATGTGATCCTTTGTGATGGAACCCCATGGTGTTTTCAATACTTCGCCGTATTTATATACATATTTTTCAATACTTCAAATGTCAATAATTTTTTCATCTTCAATTCAGTTAGTTACTCAATTAAATTTCCTTAAACCGTCTGAGGTTGTATTTTACTTAAAAATGGAATTTCTTAAGTTAACTTATTAAATCCCTTGTTAAAAGTAATGATTCATTCGATGTTGTATTTTAATTGAAAATGGTACTTTCTTTATCCAAATGATTTCTAAAAATAACTTCGTCTTTTCTTGCTGAGTTCCTAATTTGTTTAGAAGCTGTACTCTACTTTATGTTATGTAAATTAGACTCCTTGAACATCTTAATTGCATTGGTTACGGACCCTATGAACTGAGTAATATTAGAATGTTGTTGTGTAAAGTGAGATAGCAATATGTGGGCACAAGGTGCCGGGAGTGCTAAAAGTTTGGTAATTGAGGTTATGATATGAGACAGCGAGTTTGAGATGGCTGGAAATTTTGCATCAGAAACGATATGATTTATTGAGCTGACATCGCCTTCCTTGTTTGAGTACATTATTACTTGTCTGTGTTCTAGCTATGTTGGTGTTAATTTATTTGGTTATCTTTCGTGTCCACCCGTGTTTCTCTTTATTGTTTCTACTGATTGTAGTTTGTTCTTTCCCTGTTGTTGATATTACTTTGTCATTTCTAGGTTGATAGTTTATTATCAAATCCTGTTAAATTTATTTGACCAGTAGGTGTCTGGACTGTTTCTTGTCACTACCCCACCGAGGTTAGTCTTGATACTTACTAGGCACCGCCGTGGTGTGCTCATACTATACTTCTGCATATTTTTGTGTACAGATCCAGGTATTTGATCGGTAGTAGCTGTGCGAGTCGTTGCAGTGGAGACTCAAGGTAAACCTGCTACAACGTTCGCAGGCCTCAGAGTCACCTTCATTTGTACTTATTTCCATTTGTTCCTTTTGTTTCGGAACAGTGATGTATTTATTTTGTATAACTACTCTTAGAAAGGCTTGTGACTTGTACCACCGGTTCTAGGAATTGTAATTTGTTCAGAGTAATTTAATTCAAAGTTAGTAAATATCAATATTATTTCAGTTTATGTTAGGCTTACCTAGTTTAGAGACTAGGTGCCATCACGACTCCTTTCGAGGGAATTTTGGGTCGTGACATAGTTGCTCTGATACCATGAACGAACTTGAAGAAGAAATTTCTTAATTGGAATTCCAATGAATGAATCAGGGACTGTACAGACTACTGCTTATATGCAACAAAAATGGAATCTAAGAAATAACTACCTATACACTTGTCTCTTATTCTATTGGCTATTCTATAACAAACTCACATGCTATTTACAAGAAGAAATAATGTGTGCAAAATATAAAACTTAATCTTATCTTCAGCCTCTTCTAGTAGGCCCAAGGAAAACGAATTAATTCATTGTGCCCAATGAATGTGAGCCCAAGATTGATACAGAAGCCCAATGTCTCTGTAAAGTCTGGTCGAGACATTTGTTTGTGCAAGACCATTGATTTCCTCCACGTGGCTTGATCTCAGCTACTCAAGTCTTCACAAAGATGTTCAGACATTAAATATATCAACATCCTAGAAGACCAAACCTTACCTTCTGTCAAAGACGAATCCTTCTTCTTCTTCTTCTTATTCTTCTTCTCTATCTTTGAGTACACTCCATGAATCCCAGAATTATAATGGGGTTTCGTCTTCCCAACAAGGCTATAACTGAATGACAAACAAGGTCAAATTGAAAAAATAGTTACTTTCGTTCTTGGGATTTTAATTTTGGGTATGATATAGTCAAGGTGAGCAACCAAAGTCCTCCTTTCTAAACATTCAACTTCGTCCTGAACTCCTTTGCAGTGTTCTTCCTTTGCAACTAGTTTTGGTTCCACAACATCCTGAAACGAAATAAATAACAAAATATCACTTCTATGGGGAATCACAAGTTAACTAACCAATTAACAAACAAGAGGCGAAATCAATTGCTTAGTTTGTCGTTGGACATAATATATATCTCATGCCTTCTAGTAGTTTGACTGTTTAAGTTTTACCTGGTGTAGAATCTTGTTGAGGGTGGCCAAATGAAAAGCTGGCTCAGGGCGAACGGCGCAGCAGGACATGGTAAAATAGAGGAGAAAGATACTAATGAAGAAAGAGCTGGTAGAGGATTTAGACATTGTTAATTGGCTGTTTTGCTAGATGCTAAAAGTGAGAGTACCCTAACTTCAAAGATAATTTACTAAATTATTCTTTAAATAATGAGTGACTCTAATACCCTTTTGACATATTATATTTATTATTATACCCTTTTGATATATAAATATACTTGCTTCTTTCATTGACCGGTACATTAACCAACATTCAGAAGAATTTGAGGAGTTGTATCAATAACTAATACACTAAATTCATTTGATTAATTGATACAAAACCAGATTCATTCATTTATTAAATGCGTACATAGTGAAGAATCTAGAGACAAATATCTTGTGACGTTAGAAGAGCTCATACACAATGGTTTGAACTTGCGTACAATCTATTTTCCCAAATTCTTCACCCTTGTTCGTTGTTCCCAATACCATTTCTTACCTTCAATTCCCTTTAAGTTCTTAATAAAGTTTAAGTTATAATAATTCTCAAAGTGAGTATCTTTCTCCCATTTAAGAATCAGTTATAAAAGAGAGGTTTTGTGGTTACCTTGGAAAGAGAAATTAAAATGGTAACAATAATATTAGTCTCCATAAAAGAGAGGTTTTGTTCTTCTCTTCACTCCTAGAAAGATAGTATATGCAACAATGAAGCCACAAGAGCATATAACGATAACGTAATCACTCTTCCTCCTAGAATGCTAAGAATCCAGTAATGAGGTTGACGTTACTATTTGATTCCTTTTTTCCTTACGGCTTGTTTGGATGGTTGTTACCTATTGAATTGTATTGTATTGTATCGTATTATTACTTTAAATACAATATTTGTTTTGATTTCTACTTAAATTTTATTGTATCGTATCGTTAAATCCGTCGTTACGTAACGATGCAATGTGCCACTTTATGTAACGACCGATTTGGTGTGGTCGAGTCGTTACCTTGTCTTTTTCTCTCAATCTCACCCTTCATTATTATTAAATAATTTTATTTTATCATTTACCCTACCTTTTTATATACCGTATCATAATCTTTCTTTATAATATTGCTAGTTTATTCATCAAATTACTAGTGTGTGATACCATGAAACGACGGCAAAACGATACAATCCATCCAAGCATTGTATTCATCAAACGATACAGTACAATAAAATAAAGTACAATACGATACATTATGAAACGATATGTAACAACCATCCAAACAAGCTGTTAGGTAAATTAATTATGTACTTTTCAATTATGTGATAGCACAAAGTTAGACTTGTAGTATTAGCCTTTTGGATTTACAACTATAATTTTGGTGCTAAATAGTGTTAATTTTTCCTTTGCACTTTAATATCTTTATTTGTATTGTGCTTGTGATGAACTCTTGAAGACATTTGAATTTTTAGAGTTCAAAGCTAATTTTTTGCAAACACTCATTTTGGAAACTTATGTATAACTCATATTTTATCATCTAAAAAAATACATATTTTTATATAAAAAAATATGTATTAAATGTATAAAAACTTAATTTCTTGAAATTACAACAATATATGTACAATTATGTAAATAATTTTTCCGATCATTCTAACTTCATTTTTTTAATTTTTTAGGAGGAAAATTAGAGATTTTGTTCTGAATGATTGTATGATTTTAACTTCTTAAAGTTTTATCTTTAAGTGAAAGAAATTCAAAACCGTTAAAGGAGAAAATTACCAAGGGCTGAATGTGTGCGTTGGAAGAGGTTCCAAGAATTAAAGTCTAAGTAGGTGGCAGAATAGCCGTTTTTTGTCCAAAAATATTTAGTGAAATTTTGATTACAATTCTTACGATGAACAAACAATTCATACATGTTTATTGTGAAATAGTCCAATTATTGATAATCACGACGTCACGAATATGTTGGAGGAGATATTTTATTGTCTCTCATTTATGATAACAGATCTTGCAGGTAAAGAGTTGGTGAATGAAGTACTAATCCAAATCTCTTAAAAATTTGTTGATTCTGGTCAAGATTGAAGGGTGAAAGTTACCCATCAAAATTGAAAAAATTTCACCATTCCTTTTGAGAGAGATGTTCGCATAGATGGGAATAGTAGAATAGGTTCCAGAGCATGTACTTTCTACTCAAGCAAGCAGAAGAGATAATCAAAAGCAGCCTACTTTCCATATCAATTCTACTCAATAAAACCTCAATCCATGAAAGAATTATCGAAAATTAAACTCACAGAACAAGAAGAGGACCAATTAAATCGTAGCATCGACAAACCTAAGGAAGCTATAGATGAAAATAAAGAAAACAACACTCAACCTCTCAACCCACTCAAAAGCAAGGTAAGTTTTCGTGACACACTTTCCCCACCCCCTCCTCCTCCAATCAACACCAGCCTAGAAGCTGATTTCTTGAAAAAACTTACCATAGATGATGAAAACTCAAACCCCTCTAATCATCCTTTTTTATCCCAATTTCCTCAAATGATAAACTAAGACTTTACAGCCCGTGGCATCAAGCCATTATCATTAAACTCTTAGGAAAAAAAAATATCCTACACAAATATCAAACTTAAACTAAACTCACTATGACAACTAGATGAAACCCTTCAGTTAATAGATTTAGGATACGAATATTATCTAATCAAATTCCAGAGCATTGAAAGTTTTAATAAAATACTCCAAAATGGACCTAGGTTCATAGCCAATATATCACTATACGTCAATAGGAACCCAATTTCAATCCAGCCCTAGCTCACACAAACTATGCCACTGTGTGGATCCGTCTACAGGAATTACCAACTGAATACTACGATATGCATATCCTCAAAACATAGCTGCTTTTATAGGAAAACTCATAAAAATTGACACATGCACAGTTCATACATCCAGAGGCCGTTATGCTAGACTTTGTATCTTAGCACCACTAGGTAAAACCCTCACATCCGAAATTCTCCTTGGCACACACACTCAACCAATTTATTATGAAGACTCAATTATAATCTGTACCAAATGTAGATGCTTAGGGCATAACCTCCATTATTGTCCAAAATTTTCAACCCCCTCCACTTCGAAACAACCAGAAATAAACCAAAACGCATCCTCCAGTGAAGATGGCCAACATAGCCAATGGGAAATAGTTACCTATACAAAGAACAAAAAATTTACTAACACTAAGGACAAACAATCTACCCAAACCACCTTCCATAACCAAAACCACCCCCAGCAACCAAACCTCCCTAAAAAAAATCCTATGGACCCACTGACCCCACACGACTCCACAAAACCAACCAATAACACCACACTACAAAATCAGTTTGAACTACCAATTCATATCCCTACACCGGACCCACTCCATACAAAAAATAATACCACACATGACAATCCTATACCACCTATAACACAATCAATCAACCCTACCCCTAACACGTTCAAACCATTATCACCCTCCCTCCAATTCCCAACACCCACGCCTACCGTAAACCTAGGAGAGGAAAATCATCATTTTATATCACCTCTCCTTCACCCTTTAATTCGTAAAACAATGTCCAAACACTTACTTTCAAAACGTAATACCAATAAAAAACTATCTAGGATAGCCAATTATAATGACTCCTACTCTCAACTCCCGAAATCAAACATGCACATGTATGAACACGGCTCACAAAAGGCCAAAGAAAACCTAAATACAACTACATCATTACAAAAAATCGTATCTCCTACTACAATACCTAAACCCCAAATTATACAAACTATACCTCAATCATCTTCTCAACTATCACACACGTCTGCCTCACCATCATTTCATCCCAAAGAAACCTCATCCAACAGTACTCCTAAACCTTTAACTTCATTACCACACGGCAAGACATTGCATGCAAACTTGCCAATTCCCTCAACCAATAACAATGGCCTTTATCCACAACCAATCACTAAAAATCTACCCACCTCAATCCCAAAGGCTTCTTCAAATACCCCCTCCCCCCTAATAAATCAAGCTACTATCACAACTCTAGAACCAACTCCTACTACTTACTGCACTATCAATAACCACCATGCATCGTTCAAACAACCACAGGAATCATCACCATCAATACCGGCACCGGAGATACATCAACGATGTCTAGATCAATCACCACCACCACCTCCTCCTCCCATATCCTTCACCCCCACCCCCCATGTCACTTAATCATCCAGCACCAACCAAACCATGCACAACAGAGGCCATCACTACACCTCAGACTCCCATTTATACACCACCATCCAACTATTCCTCCACAACAAATACCACCATCACACCAGTTTCTACTGATAGACCTGCAACTACTACAAAATCACGTCATACTCCTTTTGGAAACATCAGAAGAGATGGCCTTCACAGTGCAAGAGGAAAATCTAAACCAAGCACAACAAGACCAAGTCTTGAACCTGATCCATCAACAAGATATCACCCTTTGGCAAATGCATGAGATCATCAATCATTATCAACAATGGCAAGCACAGGCACTCCATCACCCCACCTTCTTGAATACACACCCACAGATCAACTCCTCACCACGGTTACTCCATCAACATCCAGTAGCAACTGCTCAACCTCCAGTGTCAACACAGATGCAACACCAAGTGATCGACAACCACATTACCAACTCTCCACCTGCTTCTCCACAGCAGGAGAATCAACATCAAGCAGAAGAAGGCAACGACCTGCCGGAGACCTTCATGGAATCAATGATTTTGAACGACTTCCTGACGATCTCCATGTCAGAAAATACAAATGAAAATACCTCATTTTCATCCCTCCAAACTTCCAGAAAACTTCCTTGAACATACGCCTAGACCTCTTATCCTTGGAAGAGAAGTATGTGATTCCCATGATTCCAACCCTTCAAGACAATATGTTACCAACTGCACTTTACAATCCTCCACACCTACTAATGCATTTAGAACTTTTTCTGGCACCGGAAAGAAGCACCCCACATCATGAAGATTTAATGAAGATAATGATTTGGAATTGCCGGGGAGCTCATAATAAAGAATTCCGCCAGAACCTCAGATTCTTGCTCACATGGAATAATCCTTCCATTCTATA